ACTTCCCAATGAAATATATTTGGATGTTTTTAAATTAAATTAGATAAAGTTGTAAAATGCTATGAGTGATCTTCTAGGTAAGCTGCTTTCAGTTAAAAACTTGTTGCTTAAATAGTAGACTCCTATTCAATAAAGTTCTGTAGAAGCTATTAAGTGAAGCATCTATATTTATCATATTTACATAGCAAAATTTGTGGATAAAACTTTATAAATGGTAATAGACTTAGGTCTGTCTTGACTGTAATAGCACATTTTTGCACCTCTTTCAAAGAAGCATAGGTTTTAATAAATGTCACATGTAAAATTCAACATATATAGAACATGAAATTACATAGAATTGCTTACAAGTTGCCTTTACCATTACAGAATCATAGGAGTCAATTCTCTCTATTCAAGTCTTCCCATAGAATAAATGCTTTGAAAAAAGTGTACCAACTAATTGGAGTTTTTTTTCCTTAATTATTCTTTTTAATATATGGTTAAACTGTCCAGCAGTTGTATACATGGAGGGCCGAGCATGTTGCTTACAATGGTGAAAACTAACTAGTGTTAGTTTGGATTGTGACATTTGTTCTTTGAGTGGTCTTCTATGCATTCACACGGATGAGTTTCCTCTTCAGTGATCCATTGCCTTGGAGGAATAATCCAACTTACTCCCCCTCTTTCCTCTTGCTCCAAAACTATCTTTGGCCACAGTCAAGCCTTTACTTCACAAAACATCACATATAAGCTGCAAACCTTAAACTGAAACTACACCGATCGTTCCCACAATCCCTTATGAAATTCATGCTTTTGTACCTCTGTATGCAGGAACTAATATATTTCCAGATGCATGCAGATTGATACACAATTAAATACACTTCTGACATGTTAAAAGACATTAAAATTCATTTGCAGGCAGATTCCATAAATCACTTCTTAGATATCATGTCTTTTTTATAAATACACAACAAACTTTTTAAAAAATAGCAAGAATCCTGCTAGTGATTTATGCATGCATAAGTTGTGTAACTATTGCAGCAAATAGTTGTTAACTAAAAAGATGCCAGTTGTGTTATGAAGTACATGCCCAGCAACAGGTATGTGTCTAGTAATATGTTTAGTATCTTTATGGTTAGCAGGATTTCACCATGGTGAGTTCTGCAATTTAACTTACATACGTGTAAACCACTCACAGTGTTCTGGCCACTGTTTTGCAAAGTTGACACCTATGCCACACCTATTACTCTTCTAAATTCCCATCATCTTTAAAACCCCTGTATAGATCTTCTGAAACCATTGACCTTTTGCAAGTTTTCATTTCTACAGCTGTTTAATCCATTTCAATTTACTGAACAGTGAGAAAAGAAAGGAGTTAATGTTTACTGTGAGAGAACAACAGTGGTGATTACTTTGATTTCAGTTCCTTTTGATGTGCATTCAGGGGATGAAGAGGTCAATAATATTATGACCATGCAAATAGAAAGGGCTTCTCTCTGGCCATAAAAACAGCAAAGGATTATTAAAGCATTAACCTTGATTTTTAATGGGCCTTGGTTGAGTGGTGAGATCACAATTTGGATGAGCCTGATTATTTACTAAATACAATACATAAATGCAACGGGTTCTTAACACCCATTGCACTCTGGCATTATCGCATTACTGCCATCCTTTGTTGCCTTGCAGACAGGAATATGAAAGCAATCTGTCATGTAGTGAGACTGGCTCCAGAAGCATTTCTGTGATAAGAAGACCCCCTGCCCTTTGCTAGTGTCTGGTCCAGTAGGCTTAGCCATGCGCTTAATCCCCAGAAAGTGGTTCGATTATTGCTGACCAGCAATAGCAAGATAGGTTTTTTTTCCACCAGTCCCCCCCACCCCTGCTATCAACCTTCCATTAATTCCTTAAGCAGAAATGTGGTGCAATCTATATTTCCTTGGCATGTGTCACCCAGATGGTATACTGCTCATGTTTTCAAATAACCATGCTCCAAAATAAAATAGTTTGAATAATAAATTCCACAAATCCTTTTGGAGGAATAGAAGCACACAATTCTCAAAAGCTACATAAACTTTACGCATGATGCTACAGCTCATCCATATTACTTGACGGAAAGTATATCCTCCCTTACAGCAGTTGGCATTCTTAATCCAGGAGGGGAAAAAAATGCATTCCTTTCTAACATTGTAAATGACCTTTTCATGTTTATTGCTGCATCTGAAAAGAATAGCCTTAGCCTTTTGGCCAGTATTGCAGAACTTAGTATATGAGGAGTCTTAAATCCTCACATGTAGGTCGATGCTGTCAAGCAACCATGACTATACATTTTTTTATTGATTGAAACTACAGTAGCAGATTCCTTCTTAGCCTGAATACTTCCCATAAAAATATATAGCTAGGAGCAGAAGTGCTTCCATGCATTAGTGCTAAGACTCTATTGCATTTTTTATATATTTACATAGAGGGTGGAGTGAGAATCATATATGGATTAAATATCATACTTGTACAGCTAATTCCAGATGCTTTCACAATTATGATTATATTTAAATATTGATTTGGGGATACAATCTAGGAGAAGACAAATGCTATGAATTGCTTTAATTTCAATGAAAAAAAATAGCATAGTCTTTTAAAATCTCACATTACAATTTTGACAACTCCATAATAAATTTGACAACTCCATAATAAATGCTCTTTGATGATTCATTGGAGGTGACAACTGCTACAGACAATTTTTATTTTGGTGTAATAAAATAAATCTGGTACAGAACATTGATCATTTAAATGGCTCACCCCACTCCAGTCTTGCAAGTTGATATGGACAAACTGTCAAGGAATACTTCATTACTTTGAACAAGTTCAAATCTCCAGGGCCCGAAAGTTGCATTCAAAAGTGTTGAAGGAACTGGCTGAGGAACTCTCAGAACTACTATTATTTTCTTGAAATCATGGGAAATGGGTGAAGTGCCAGATGATTGGAAGACTGTAGTTTCTATTTTCAAAAACAGTGAAAAGGAGGAATCTAGGAACTATACACCAGTGAGCCTAAAATTACTCCCAGAGAGAATTATGGAACAGATTATAAAATGGTCAGTCTGTAAATACCTTGAAAACAATGCAATGAAACCATCATGGATTTGTCAAGATCAAATCCTGCCAGGATTTGTCCACGAAAGCTCACATTAAAATATAGCAGTTAGTCTTTAAGATGTCACAACATTCTTTTCTTTATTTTTCTTCTGTTTTTTCCTGATATGTTAGCACAGAATAACATGGCTACTTCTTCTAAATCCTGCTAGCTTAGCCTTGAAAACAATGCAATGAAACCATCCTGGATTTGTCAAGATCAAATCCTGCCAGGATTTGTCCATGAAAGCTCACATTAAAATATAGCAGTTAGTCTTTAAGATGTCACAACATTCTTTTCTTTATTTTTCTTCTGTTTTTTCCTGATATGTTAGCACAGAATAACATGGCTACTTCTTCTAAATCCTGCTAGCTTAATCCTACATCATTTTTAATTGGGAAATCTTGGCAGATTGTGAAAATGCTATGGACATAGTCTATATTTTCAGCAAAGCTTTTGGCGAAATGCCCCATGATATTCTGATTGGCAAGCTATTAAGTGTGAGCCCGGATAGAACAACTATCAAGTAGATCCACAATGGGTTACAAAATCATACATAGGGAATGTTTATCAATGGTTCCTTCTCAAAGGAAGTAACAAGTGGGGTACCACAGGGCTCAGTCCTGGGCCCAGTGCTCTTCAACATTTTTATTAATGGCTTAGATGAGCAGGTACAAAGAATGCTTATCAGATTTGCAGATAAAACAAAACTGGGTAGAATAACTAATACTCCAGAAAACAGAAACCTAATTTAAAGATATATGTAGGGTTGAGCCCTGGGCTGAAACCAACAGAATGGCATTTCACAGTGATAAGTGAAGAGTTCTGCATCTAGCAAGAAAAACCCAAATGTACAGTTATATGATGGTGGGTACTTGGTTCAGCAATACTACATGAGAGAAAGATCTTGGAATTGCTATAGATCACAAGCTGAATATGAGCCAACAGAGTTGAACAATAAAGAAGGCTGACCGCCAAAGAATTGATGCTTTTGAATTGTGTTGCTGGAGGAGACTCTTGAGAGTCCCCTGGACTGCAAAGAGAACAAACCTATCCATTCTAAAGGAAATCAACCCCGAGTGCTCACTAAAAGGACAGATCCTGAAGCTGAGGTTCCAATACTTTGGCCATCTCATGAGAAGACTCCCTGAAAAAGACCCTGATGTTGGGAAAGTGTGAAGGCAAGAGGAGAAGGGGATGACAGAGGATGAGAGGGTTGGACAGTGTCATCGAAGCTACCAACATGAATTTGACCAAACTCCAGGAGGCAGTGGAAGACAGGAGGGCCTGGTGTGCTCTGGTCCATGGGGTCACGAAGAGTTGGACAGGACTTAACAACTAAACAACAACAAATAAACTCAGAGTACACTGCATTACACTGGTGATGACTTTGTGGTATTCAATTCTGTTATGCTTGTTTCCATACTTGTCCCAGTTTTTCATAATCCTAATGACAGAATGTTCTTAAGCAATTGCAATTGCCAATTTATTGGTTTCACTATATCAAGCGTCCTTGCTTGATCTAGTTTTACAGCAGTATTGAGAAACCACTTGTTGCTCTTCTTGTTTCAGAGATGGGGACTAAGGCCAGGATGCAGTGATTGTCAAATTTTTATTTGACCTGTCTCAGATCCAAGCCCTCAGTAGACTGTACTGTTAGTTCTCTTAACTGAGTTGCAGCTTCAGCTGAAACCAAGGAGATGGAATTCATCTTGGATATTTAGGCTCTTGCTGTTGAGCATGTCAGAATTATATTGCCAGCAAGTGTAAGATCCCGAGGCTATGGAGGATATGTGTTCATTCACTTCATAACCTCATCTTGCTGTACATAATAAAAATCTGAAAGCTTTGCTTTCCTACTTTCAAACATGACTTGTATTATTTTATCCCTCAGATATCCTACATTGACATGCCAGTACTTGGAAGTAGAAGACAGAAACAACATCTGGCAATAAACAGTGTAGAAGACAGGGTTATTTGCTGGTGGTCAGCAGTAAAAGATGAAGTGTGGCCTTGGGCTCCTATCTCCAGTGAAAGAGAGAGAGCAAATTTACTGTTCCTGAAACTTGAACATGGCAACTTGGAGGTAATATATTAAGCGGAATCCTCTTCAATCTCATATTTAAGGGTGGGGGTGCACTGTGGTGGCTTTGCTTTATTTGTTATTTATTTCAAGTTCAAAATGTTTCTGGAGTGGCTTGGATAAATCCAATAAATAAGACAGTTTCTGCACATTGGCCTACATTCTGAAATACCAAACACAAAATAGCAGAGGGATGGGAAGGAGAGAAGAAAAGCAAACTCAAGCAAACTAGAGAGCCCGTTTTTTAAGATGCAGAGTTTTTATAATGACTAGTTTGAATTAATGGTGAGCAGAAGTACTCAGTTATATTTTAAGACTTTGGCAGAGGGTGACTTCTCTCTAAGTTCACCTGGTGCTGACATTTTTATCTTTTTGGCACCAAAAAGACTCTCTGTCAAGAGCGTGATAAATGATCTTAAATTGTCCCCACCCTGAATTTATAGCTTTTAGTTTATCGTGGTCTGCTGTTTTAATATTACTGTGTCCTATGCATGTGCATTTCTAGGCTGTGCCAATGGTGTTGTGTGAGTCTCAAATCTGTTTTACAAGGATCTCTGAATGTCCATTGATTTTTCCCTCAAATTCATTCAGATGGCAATTTTCAAATGCATTACAGCTGGGGAGCCAGGAGGCTAAGGCTCCCTTCTACGTATTTTGTAATCCACCCACCCTCCATTTCTTCTCGCATGGCAGTTAAGCTTAGGCTAAAAACCTTCAATTGGTGCCAGTTGAAGGTTGTTTTAAGTGTATTGTCAAAGGAAGGGAGATTCTGGAGGAAGGATCATAGTGGGGAAGGGAACGGTTGAATTCTCTGTGCATGTTGTCTCCCTGCCCCCTCGCCCCCCATTTTCCCCAACAAAGTCAGGGTAAAGGGAAATCTTTTGTTGGCACAAATGGATTTTTCCCCCTAAGCTCACTTGCATAGTAATGGAAAATTTTCTCCAGGAGTAATGCAGTGAGAGAGAAAAGGCAGTGGAAAGGCACAGGGAGAGATGAGTGCTGAAGAAGAAGAGAGAAAATAGATCAGCTTTCTAGGGATCCTTTCTTGACTTGTCTTCAAACAGGAATCCAAGGAACTACAAAAGTACTTGCCTTGTCATTCAAGATAATTTATTGCACTCTTGACAGAGAAGGAAAATGAGAACTACACACACACACACATAGTGATGATGGCTGCTTTGGTGCACAGAGGCAAGACAAAAACTTTTAACACAAATAATGTTTTAACACAAATAAAGCAAATTAGTGATGATGGCTGCTTTGGTGCACAGAGTGTTAAGAATTAGAGACATCAGAGGGGTCTTTGCATTACCCAAAATGATGCACTTGTTTTATGCTCTGTGTGTGTGTGTGTGTGTGTGTGTGTGTGTGCGCGCGCGCGGGGGGTGTGTGTGTGGCACGTCCTTTCCTCTCCAAAGAAAAAGACACTATTTTTATTTTTGATAGTGCCATTACCCAGAATGATGCACTTGTTTTATGCTCTCTGTGTGTGTGCGCGCGTGGGGGTGTGGCACGTCCTTTCTTCTCCAAAGGAAAAGACACTATTTTTATTTTTGATAGTGCATGCAAATTATGGAGACCTTAATGAAAACAAAGCACTCATTGTCTAACTGTTGCCTCGAAGTAAAGAATCTCACATGGCTTGAAAATTCCTTGTTGAATGATGCACTTGTTTTATGCTCTCTGTGTGTGTGCGCGCGTGGGGGTGTGGCACGTCCTTTCTTCTCCAAAGGAAAAGACACTATTTTTATTTTTGATAGTGCATGCAAATTATGGAGACCTTAATGAAAACAAAGCACTCATTGTCTAACTGTTGCCTCGAAGTAAAGAATCTCACATGGCTTGAAAATTCCTTGTTGAGATGTCTAACCAAATTGAAACAAACCAAATCAATGAGAATGAATAATCTAGCAAGTATTTGTTGCTGTTATCCCTGCTATTGACCTTCTGAAATATGAAATAGTTTGGGCAAGAGGTACTTGAGATATCGCAAGTGAAATTCTGGTCCTCTGTGTGTCTGAAGTGCCCTATCCTGGTGTCTGAAGAAGTAGATTGTATCCATAAAAGCTCACACTGAAATAAATCTATCAGACAAAGCAACTCCAATACTTTGGTTTCTGTTATTGCAGTAACAGACTTAGGGTGTGACTACATAGGGATTTATTCCATTGCTCTGGGCATCATCATTATCTTAGAACCGCAGAACTAAAAGGATCATCGGGTCCAGTCTCTTTTAAGGGGACACAGTGAGAAATCCAACTCCCAGCTTCTGGCTCTGTAGCCAGATATCTAAACCATTGAGTATCATAAACTGGTTCACCCCTTTTCCCAGTAACCACACAACATAAGCCCATATCCAGATCATTCCTACCCACCCTTTTTGGCTGTCTGTCAGGGTCTAATCTTTTTTAGGTGGGAGTAAGATTACTCTGTATTGGTTCAATTTCAATACAAATTAAAAATTCTCTCTCCATGGAGAAGAGGGAGGAACTAAAGTTTATTTTAAAAAACAAAAACTTCATTAGTGCAATGCTGATGCACTGTATCTTTTAGAAAATAAAAATAAAAAAATTAAAGTTTCATTCCAGAAGGAGAATAAGACAGGAATGGGCAAAGAGACTATTTTTTCCTTTCTTATCATTTTTTCCCTTTAATGGGAGGTGGGCTAAATAGATGCATATGCCATGTGGATGCAATGGTTACTCCAAATAGCATATTGTGCCTCTATGTGACCTTAAATGACCCAGTTTAGCCATCTAGCCCAGTGGTTTTCAAACTGAGATCCCTAGATGTTCTTGGACTGCAATTCTCAGACACCTTCACCACTTGCTGTGCTGGCCTCTTAAGATTTCTGGGAGTCGCAGTCCAAGAACATATGGGGACCCCAGTTTGAGAACCATTGATCTAGCCAAGCCCTAACATGCCTGCCTCCCTTTAAAATGCCGCATCTTGTTGTTTATGGGATGCAGCACACAATCTTTTTCATTGTATATCGAAGGGTCTATCTGGAGGTTGGAGACAACATGAAAACAAAGAAGAGAGCCATCTTTGGTCCTGTTTCTTTTTCCCTTCTTTTTTCCTGGCTCCCTCTGTTTCCTCCATGCTGCAATTTCTGCTTTAGTAACATCTCCAAAGCTACATACTACTATTTCTCTTCCTTCCAGCTTCTATCTCAGTTCTCTCTTTTTTTTGAAAATCTGTTCTGATGCAAAAATTGCCAGTTCCAGGTAGGAGTATGTGTACATCTGTGTGACTCTAGCTTCTATGAAATATAAATATGTCCTAGTTTTTTTTTCTGAATCTGTATACATAGATATAAATTAACATGTGTAAATTTTAGAGGCTGGACTGTTATTTTTCAGTGCTTGCACTGCCTATTGTTGTATGCATGTTTTCTGGTTTTGTGTGTAACTCTTTGGAGCTGAGGGTAAGATATGAAATATGTTTTATCATGACAATTTATGTGAAGTTCCATTCCTTTTCCCATAAAGACTAAGATAGCAAGACAAGGAGAGTGTTCTCTAATAACTTCTATTGTGTTCTTGAAAATAGAAAAGAATAATATAAGGCAATATCTTGCATCTGTAGATCAATTAAATCAAACAGAATACCCTTTAGCCAGAGTCCTATTGGTGATTTAGACATGAGTGAGGAAAATTGTGTAACTCACTGTGGTAAATAGCTGCTAACTAATGAGGCACTGGGTCTATTACTTAAGTACCTGCCTCTTGGACAATCTGGTGCCTCATAAAATAACCACTGCCTCATTGCTTAGAGGCAATTTGCTGTGCTGAGTTATATACAGTATTTAACTTACTGAGTTATGTAACTTAACTTAATTGGTGTGTAAATCAACAGTAGGATTCTGGCCACCATGTACCATTTTCTAGAAGAAGCATATTTATATTTTAAAGAGATCCTAATGATATGTCAGTATATTACCATAGTTCATTTTTCTATAATATCTGAAATTTATTCTCCTAAATCAAAAGATTTCCACAGAAATATATATGACTTATTTTTCATCTAAGATAGTACTCTTGATCTGGTGGTAGTGAAGAATACTCTTTCTATCATAACTGATAGAGCAATATGGGTCCTATAAATGAGCAGATGGAATATCTTAATGGAGCTTTAAAACAAGACATGCTTGAGGCTACAAATAAATAAACAACAGCATGGATAAATTTCAAGGAGGTGAGAATAACAACAAATAAGATTGTTCATAAATAAGCAGAAAACAAAAAATGTCTAGGTTAAATGTCTGAATGTTCAAACCATGTTGAGAAAAACACACATTTTTTTCAAAAATTGATATATCAGCTCTCTTGTATTGAATTTGCCACTTATCATTTCTAATTGTGTGTGTGTTTGCAGTTTCATGGTGTGAAATTAAACTAGCCATTTTCTAACATCTATAAAGTAAATCAAACAGTTTTTGCATCTTAAAGACAGACAATTCAGTCACAGACAGCTTACTTTGTGTTCTCTTTAATTTCTGTTTTATCTTCCTGGTAAGCCAATTTTCTGCTTAAAATCTACTGTTTAAAACTCTTACTTCTTTCATTATGTGGGCTTTATCCTTTCCTCTGTACTTTTATGCAAAATGATGCAATTATTTATGTTCTTTAAAGTGTGCAGAGAAGTGTCCATTGAAATAAGAGTCAGGCTTATTATTTTGCATTCCACACATAAGGATACAAAGAGAGCACATGAGGCAGCAAATTCTCTAATTGCAAAGATTAGTTAAGCTTCTAATGTCGTATTTTTTTTGTTTTCTTTTTGTCTAGACTAAGGTTATATAGACAATGCCTTTTCTTGATTAGCTAGATCAAGCTACTGAAGTTGAAACGCACAATAGCTTTAATAACTATCATCATTTAATTCGAACAATACTCCAATTAGAGAACAAGATATTTTATTATTATAAAGCACTGCCACCATTTTTAATACCGCTGCTTTTCTTGTATCATGTAGATTTAGCTACAGCTTTATGCTTACTACATGGTAGAATCAGGTGACTCAAAACATAGCTTTCTAAGCCATGCATTTTCTATTGGGTGTCACTTGAACAAGGCTATAGATTGTTTGAGAAGCATGTATGCAGACAGTGTTACAGTGTTACAGTGCCCGCTTAGCCCATCAACTGGTTTAGATTCTAAGCTTTTGGGGAGAGAATCTCTATCCCTTACAGAGTCAAGATGTAAGGCAAAACCTGCAGATACTGTTTTGGCTAATTGTTCTGCTAGAAACAAGCCTTTCTACGACATTAGCCAATTTGACAGGATCTAATATGATTGCATAAAAGAAAGACTCTCAATAAATGTTGTAATTTTGGAAATACTTGGTATCCAAATAGTTTGCAAACAGCTGAAATCTGTTTGCATATCTGCCTCTAAGCAGCTCATAGAAAGTAATGAAGTCATATTAACAAATGCTGCCTGGGAAATTGTAGATGCTATAATAAAAAAAAGGGGGAACTTTTCTAAGCTCGATACTATGCATCTTACTGCATGTTCTGCTTGGCTGGGAATTGCCCCAGTAACACAGGTTCCCTTCCAGCTCTACAGTTCTATGTGTTTATGGCTGAAATTCTGTTTCACAGTGGGAATGACATCATCAGCAGTTACAAGTCACCTCTGCATAAAGGCATCCTTTGGCAGTTGCTGGGTAAGCATGCCTTTGTCAATCTGCGTAACAGGAATTCAGCTATGATTCCCTGGCCTTCCAGATGCATCAGGTTCTATTTTATTTTTCATAGGCTTTTGAGAGTTTAGCCCCGAGGAAAGAAAGAATTTGGCATGAACAAGAGAAGTGATGTTCCTGTTTTCTTTTACATTGTTATTATCTTATGAATATTAGGTGGATTATAAAGCAAATAGAATTTGTTTAGCAGGATTTGTAGGCAGTATATTGTTTTATGCTGGCTTTTAAAAGTCTGGGATTGTTTTTCAGGTTCTGAGTTATATACGTACCACTGGGGACCCACTTGATGTCACCTTCAGCGTGTCTCAGCCTTATCAGATACACAGTGTAGAACAATATTTCACTGAAGATCAAGAGCCCATAGCTGACAGCTGTATCTACGAGTGTGTGGGAAATAAAGTTCAGTGTGTGGCAGTCACCAAAATACCACTAATATCAAAAGCCATCAGCTGCTGCAGAAACAGTACTGAAGACAAACTTGTTGTGGGATGTGATGATTCTTCAATTGTTTTATATGAAGCTTACCGCCAAGTTACTCTGTCAGCACAAACAGAACTAGTGCCGGAATTATTGTGTTGCCACCCCAGAGGAGCCATCATAGTGGTTGGCCATTCACAAGGGGAGATACAAGTGTTTGACATGGCCCTGTCTCCAATTAAAATGCAGCTCTTAGCTGAAGACCTCTCACCAAAATCAACACTGCCATTTAGTAAGCATTTCAACGTCTCAAGCAGTCTCTCCCAGATCCAGTGGGCTGCCCCTCGAACGTCATATCAAAGTATGGCTGATACCGATATCCATGACCTTCTGTTGCTGAGATTTGACCAAGGACCTGTTGGTGTACTTCATTTTAAAACTGGTAAGTTAATAACTGTGACGGACAGGCCAGAAACCACACCTATCCATCACAATGCAATTCTCTCTCTACTCTTGCTACTGTCCCCTAGGACTTAGAGCACTCTCTCTATGGTTTACAAGTTCATGATGCAGTCTACACATTGCCCTGTCCTGAGCAAGCTGGGTACTCATTTTACCAACCTTGGAAGGACAGAAGACTAAAAGTTAACTTCAAGCCAGCTACCTGAGTCCAAGACTGAACTGAGCCGAGTCTTAACAGCATTACTGCAGTATAAGCACTGCGCCATGAGGCTGATGGCAGAAGATGGTCTTTTCTATAATTAAGAAGTGCAGGTTTGAACTGACAGGGGAAAAAAAGATGGTTTTTAAAAAAAAACAAAAACAACAACTCTAAATTAGCAAGGAAAAGAAAGAAGGTTTTTAAAAAGTGGAATCTAGAATATTGAGCATTATGCTGCTTTAAGTGTTTACTGCGTTAAATCTGACTCTTGTACACTACAATTCATGGTGAGCAACTGTGGCTCTCCTGTTTATTTATTTACCCGACACCTTCCCTTGTAGCAAATGATGAGGGCTTACTGGACTCCAAAGACAATGTGGATCCACAGTTGTCCACCCCTTCTGTTGGAATGGACAGCTGAAATGTTACTAGAAAGTCATATTAGCAGAGACAAGTATTTGTTAGATACTGATGTTTCTGTTGCAAAATTACTCTGTACTGCAACTGCTGTTAGACACATTCCAGCTTCGGATTAACAATATGGTTTACAAGGAAGCATGGCTGCAGGTTTATTCACAGTTATATTGTTTAGAAATTGTCCTTTACCCAGGAAATTGCTCAAAAAAGAAAGATGCTTGTAGGTAATCATTATAATAAGACAAATTAATTTCATCTTGTCCAGTGGTGTGTTTTAACAGCTGTAGACATCTGCATGGAATGCTGATTAAAACAGTTCTTTGATGTATTCTCACATGTCTATTTTTAAATGCCTCTAAATTACCTGGTTACCTGTCAAACAGAAGGCACTCTGCCTACATCTAGCTTGCTTTTCTTCAGGTCTCCCTTGTGGCTTCTCACAGTAGCTTTCCAGAAAGCACAGCTTTCCTTCCCTATCTCTAGCACATTTATGTTCTTACTGAGACAAACAGGCTCTCAGTACAGGGATTTAGAGGCCTTTCTGCTAATTGCCAGCTTGTAAACTTAATTGGACTGTCTCCCTGGGCACTGTTCCTAAATCAATTAGGCAATGAGTTGGCTGTCACCTCTCTTACCAAAGTAGGTCACTTGGAAACGCACCACCCAAGAGAAGTCAAGAACCTGAATGAGACGTTGCTGACCTCTGTAGTTGAAAGTTATCATATTTTAAGAATTTTGTCGTGTGTATTTCCGTCATATTGGTTGTGTGCTCATTAGGTAAATCTGAGTTTAAGTATAAAAATCTATTGAAGGGAGTCGTTGTTTCTCTTTGTTTCTTTCTCTCAACCTTTTCCACAGGGTTAAATACAGAGGCCAGAATCCTATTGCCATTTTATGCATGCTCAAGGGAAATTGCAAAAGGCTTGGCAGCAAATTGCCACTCATTAGTAAGGTGCTAGTTGTGTTTCTGGGCATGTGCCCTGCTCAGGCCTTGCAAACACAACTCTGGCTTCCTTCAGGGAGTCAATCCATTTTGTATTTGGTCTTCCTCTTTTCCCGAAGCCTTCCACTTTTCCCAGCATTTCTCTTTACCTGCGTGAATTAGCAGTAGGATTCAGATTGCTGTCTGTTGCTCCCTGAGGCTGCTGATACCAAGGGCAAGGTCACTATAGGGAGAGACAGCTAAACTTAGTGTTCTCCCTACTTCCTTGCAAAGATTCAAAGTCTAGTGAAACAATGCATTTTAATGAACTAAGCTCAAGAACAGTATTTGTTTTGGATTTTAAAAAAAAGCTTAGGTGGTGTCACATTTCTTCTGCTAAGGACAAAATCTTATGTGCTCCACCATTGCTGATAGCAACACCAGTATCCAGCCCACTCATTGAACAACAAATTTGGCCTCAAGAAAACCCAGCCATGAAGAAGTTGTTTTGAGCAATAAAACTGGAGCGTGGAGTCTGGAGCACTGTATTCATTTTGCACTGGCAGATAAGACGTGTAGCCTCCTTCACTTCTTATCCACTACATGTATCTTTAAACAAGTAATTTGGTCCCAGAACTTTCATTTCTGGAAAAAGGAAATGGAAGGGAAAAGCATTTACTTACACTAAAATGTATTTCACTGTAAAACTGGGAGGAGCACATGAAACCAGCAATACATGACTATTTGAGTGGAAGAATAGTTTCCATGCCCTCTCTGAACACCTCTAAGAAAGGGCATCTTGTCTGTTGCTTACCATGAAGCTAAAATGGCGTGTCAGACTGATAAACCAGCACATCGTTCCAAATAAAGTGCTACTTTATATTTTGTCTGGTTTGAAAAACTCCAGTCTGGAAATACACTCAAATAGTATATTTAAGTAGAACCCTACAGGCCTTTATTTCAGTAAGACCCTACTGTGTAATAATATCAACCTAATAGGTAATCTAGCCTTGCTGCAAAATATGGGTCCTGAAGAATTGTAAAGTAATCTAATGTTAACTTGGCTTCTGGTGTGATATGAAAAGCACACTTGGTTACTCTCAACTATCAGGTCAAGTTTCATTTAATTTAGCAGAAAAATACGTACAGTAATGATTTGGTACGTAGCCTTTGGGTTACTCTAACATTTATCCATGATTTTCTGTCTTTAAAAATGTAATATACTGTATTAATGTTATGAAGATAAATTCGTAAGTGTTCAATAAATGTTTTAATTTATTTTCAGACACGTGTTTCTACAAAATTCATCTCAGATAGCAAAGACACAGTACGTTCTTGAGGGTCACTACATTGTGGTTAAGCCAGTCTGGTTGGTTAATGGTTAATACCATTAAAACATTTCCTCTAGACTTTTCACTCATAAAAAATCGCCACAGATCTGCATTGATCTGCATGGTCCAGTAAGCCCCGAAGGATTTAGAATATAGGGATTGTCCTCAGAATGTCTTTGAATGGTTGGATTGGATTGGATCGGAGGCAGGAAGCATCCACCAGCACAGGTGCAACAAGAACTATTGCAGAACTCATTGTGTTGGAGACCAAGCAATGCGAAGGTGCACCTCCAGTTTCTGTGGCATAATATCAGCACAGAGTGACATGCATGAGTGCAGGGGCAGTAATTAACCAAATCATATTAAAAGTATCATTTGGGAGCAGATGCTTCACATTTGAGTTTTCTGCATCTGCAGAATAAAGCCCACAATTGTAGATTTCGTTAAGATAAAAAGATATACTTACATGTTATCTAATGTAACTACAGTGGTGCCTCACTTAATGACGCTAATCCGTTCCAGGAAAATCGCTGTTAAGCGAAAACATCGTAAAATGAAATTAAAAACCCCATTGAAATGCATTGAAACCCGTTCAATACATTCCAATGGGGTAAAAACTCACCGTCCAGCGAAGATCCTCCATACGGCGGCCATTTTCGCTGCCTGTATGGCGAGGAATCCGTCCCTAAACACAGAGTGGAGCCATTTTAAGCATCCGGTGGTCATTTTGAAAACCCAACTATCAGCTGTTTTGATCGTCGTAATGTGAAGAATCGGTTCTCGAAGCAGTTTAATGCGTTCCAATAGGCTTTGCTTACCCGCACAGCGATGTTTTCGTATAGCGAAGGTTAATCCGGAACGGATTAACCTCGCTATACGGGGCACCACTGTATATATATATATATTGCTATATATATATATATTGCTATCGGACCCACAGTAATGCGGGGCAAACGTTAAGCAAGGCACCACTGTATTGAAGAGCCTACTACCACCTGGTTTTCCTGAAAATAAGACAGGGTCTTATATTAATTTTTGCTTAAATTAGATGTTTAATTTTTTTTCATGTACAACAATCTACATTTATTCAAATATAGTATGTCATATTCTTCTGGTTGCTGCACAATGGTGGAGGGTGGGGTTTCACTTAACTGAGGCTTATTTTGGGGGTAGGGCTTATATTATGAGCATTGTGAAAAATCAAACTAGGGGTTATTTTCAGATTAGGTTTTATTTTGGGGAAAACAAGGTAGCTTGTGTTTTAAACATTGAGGGTGTCTCTCGCTACTCCCAGATTCTGAAACTCCCTCCTATGGGGGCCAAGCTGTCTTTCTGCAAGCAGGTGAGAACCTTTCTCAAGCCAGCTTTCCTTTAAGGATTGGCTAAGAGGGTTTTTTTTTTTCCTTTGAGAATTGGCTAAGAGGATTTTAGGGATGTGGTGGCGCTGGGGGTTAAACCGCAGAAGCCTCTGTGCTGCAAGGTTAGAAGACAAGCAGTCGTAAGATCGAACCCGCATGGCGAAGTGAGCTCCCGTCGCTTGTCCCAGCTCTTGCCAACCCAGCAGTACGAAAGCATGTAAAAATGCGAGTAGATAAATAGGTACCACCTCGGTGGGAAAGTAATGGCGTTCCATGTCTAGTCGCGCTGGCCACGTGACCACGGAGACTGTCTTTGGACAAACCCTGGCTCTATGGCTTGGAGACAGAGATGAGCACCCGCCCTAGAGTTGGACACAACTGGACTAAATGTCAAGGGGAACCATGTCAGTGGTTCCTAACCTCGGGTCCCCAAATGTTCTTGGACTACAACTCCCAGAAATCCTGGCCAGCACAGGTAGTAATGAAGGCTTCTAGGAGTTTTAAACCAAGAACATCTGGGGACCCATGGTTGGGAACCACTTCTTTAGGTAATATACCTAGAAATGTAACATGTGATTCTTTGAAGAATTGTGCATGTACTTATAATTTTATGTGTTGTTTCCTATAATAGGTGTCATCTCAAGAGGCCAGCTCGGCCTTGTAGAAATAATCCAGGAATACATTCATCAGGATGAGATCTATGACGCAATTAATATTTTGAGTGGCATGAACTGGAACACAATGGGTCATCAGTGCTATGTAAGCCTAAGTGCTATAGTAAACTACCTGCTCAGACAGAAGCTGACACCTACAACCGAAGGTTTGTTAGGTTCTTTTTTATTTATCTAGTTTTATATTAGAAAAGGGTGCAGAATTATTTGGGTCTTCAGATCCAAATATCTCTGCACTACAGGACAGCTGCCGCGCGTCCACTCAGCACTCCCCTGGACTGGCTGGTCCAGTGACCTGTTGCCGCGCAGCGTCTGCTCCGGCAGGGCACCCATCCAGGCCGGAACAGAGCTGGCCTGGCCGCCAGAGCAGGTGGGCAGCTGTGCAGCCACGCAGAGATGTTCGGATCTAGCTATCCAAATACTTCAGCACCCTTCTCTATTTTAAACTGATAATGGAATCATGAAGCACACACTTCACATAAATAGTTTATACTTGAAAGGTTTTGTAGCTGGGATTGTGTTTGTTTTTATGCTGCCTTCAACTGGGGGTATATAAACAGAGATTGCGATTGTCCATAAAGCTACATGTTCTTATGGTACCTTTGTTCAATAAAGATGGGCACTAAACTAAACTGAAATTATATTAATAGTGTTTTTTTTCTTTTTGATTGTGTTATTATATGAATATGGATGTAAAAGAGAAGCAGCAAAGAGGGAAAAATATTTTCAAGTTAGTGAATTAAGAAACCAAACAGGGATGACCTTTTTTGTTAAGAAAACTGTCTAATTTTTGCTGGATTTCTCCCCCAACTGTCATCAGCTTCACATGTTTCCTGTTGAATGCCCTGAAACTCTTTCCACATCTTACTGTATCTCTGTCCCCTGTTGCCTTCATTGACGTCTGAAACCTCCTTACATTAACAGATCAATTCAAGGCTGAGGCTCATCTCTGCTGGATGCTGGTGGGATGACTCTCCAATGAAAAGCTGTGTGTGTTGGAACTGAGCTATTCCCAGGATTTAGATTAAGCAGGAAAGCTTCATGCCATGTCTCAGCATGTAGGTGCAGCTGGGCATCAAGCTCTTCATTTTCTGGGAAGAAGGTAGTGTGGTAGAGGATACGGTGAACAGCAGATCTTAGAAAAATTGCTTGCTGCCCAAACATGCCCCCAGGCCATCAAGCTAGGCAGACAATCCCTACAATAGAGTGTGAGAAGCAAACTTGGTTATCATAACCTCTACAATACTAATAGACAAGGTCAAAATGTTCTCTCAGAAATCTTCTGAAAATACACAGTGGAAAAGTGGAAGAGAGAAGGAAGGCTTTTCATAAAACTTTGTTTTAAATATATGTGTGTTATAAATAGCCTTCTGTATTTCTCCCCACATGGAACCAGGCTAATGCTGCTTTACAATAGACAAGGTCTTATGCCATCTGGGATTTATTCTATACAAGTCGAACAAATCTGTCATGGTAATTTGTTTTCTTTTTATTAGAGCAACCCAGAGAGTCTTTTCATTTGGAATGATGTACTGGTTTATCTGTGAGATCTTCATTTCTGCCGTCAACATCAAGCTGGGCTATCTAATGAATCTGTAACTGTGCTGGTATTCCATGTAGGCTGGAGCATTTTAGAACCCTGAAATGCGCTGTAAGAAAAACTGCAACAGCAAGAGAGTGCAGCTTATTTTTTTTTCCTGTAACCCTGCTGCATTAAATTTTGATCGAAATAGATTTATGCTTTTGAAAGAAAACACCTTGAAATTTCAGCTTATATCACCAACTAGATTTAAGATACTGGAAAACTTAATTTACTGAAAGTGCTCATAGCACTGGACTCTTAGAACTTTAAGATCTTATAAAATGAAATGCTATCAAGTCTTATAAAATAGAATGTAGCTTTGTTTAATGCTAAGTGATAATTATCACTACAGAAATAGCTAGTTCAAACAGACATTAATAGGAGCACGTGAAAGAGATTTTTGTCTACAGGTCAAACATGTCCCTTCTTTTGAAACACTTTCAAAACTTTGATTAACAAAAATTCTATTTGCCCTTCTGCCATGAAAGAAGCATCTGTATCTCACATCAGATTGTATCTGCACTTTAAAGGAAGATAGAGGGAATTCTACTAGTTAGACATTGCTCACATGCAAAATGTCATTTGCATGGCCTCAACTTCAGATGTTGTAAACCAGTTCACCTGGAGGTACACTTATGCAGTTTTACATCTGGTAATAACATGGGGAACACGTTATGCGCTCATGCAGTTTTATGTATGTTGTGCACTACAAAGCCCTCTTCAATTATTTTTTTATTTTGTTTGCTTGTTTGTTTGTTGTTCTCTGACAAAAATAGCCCTGGAATAGCTACTTTGCTTGTTCTTCCTTCTTGTTCCCTTGCCTAGAATGGGCCAAATCTTGCACAGGTGTCAAGACCACCCCTACCAAGATCTGATCCTATTTACAATCAGAGAAATAATGATGTGGTAACTCTGTCAATATTGACATATTAACATTATTGTTAGACTTGGCTAAAAATTGTTAGTTAAACCATGAGCTTCACAATCTGCCTCTAAGTAAGCTGAGAACCTATATAAGATTCAAGATAAAGAAGCAATCTGACATTTAAAACACCCACAACTGAACTCTATTATCATAGAAGGCTCTCATGCCATTTGCCATTTTACCAAGCAGCATCATAACACTACTCCAAACAACAGAGATGGCCTTAAAATTGACATACTAGGAGAATGTACTCCACTTGCATCCTTGGGGATAAGAATAGTCAACTACCAAGGCACAATGGGGGCATACCAAAGGTTTTTGTGGGGCAAAACCCAACCATTGTTCTCAACAGCCTATTGGAGGATAAGAGAGTCTCAACCCTAATGTTTCAGCAAGAAGTTATGCCTCTTGCTACACAGCAGATACATTCTATGAGGCATGAAGTTGACTATGCTGCCACACATGAATTTTTGAGCCATTATGTATGGCTTCACTCATAAGAACATAAGAAAAGCCCTGCTGGATCAGGCCAAGGGCCCATCTAGTCCAGCTTCCTGTATCTATTTTACAGCGGCCCCACCAGATGCTCCTGGGAGCACACAAGACAACTAATAAATAAAGTTTATTATTTAATCTGCAAGACAGAAGCTCTCCCACCAAGACTATACGGACTCCCCAAAATCCACAAGGACTCAATCCCACTCAGGCCCACTGTAAGTGCTATCAGCTCCCCAACATATGAATTAGCCAAATACCTAGTGACCCTCCTAGAGATCCACATTGGACAAACCTCATTCTACATCAGAGACTCAGGACATTTCATAAGCAAGATCAGCACCCTAAAACTCAACCATGGGGACAGACCGATCAACTTTGACGTAGTATCCCTGTTCACTAAGGTACCAATAAAGGACATCCTGACACTCATCCAGCAGATCTTTCCAGAAGACATCACGGCCCTTTTCCAACACTGTCTAATGACCAGCTATTTCCAGTGGGATAATGAATTCTATTAACAGACAGATGGAGTGGCCATGGGGAGCCCCTTCAGCCCGGTTATAGCAAACTTCTACATGGAGCATTTCGAAAAACTTGCCCTGGCTTTGGTACCCCTCACACCCACAGTCTGGTTCTGATATGTGGATGGCACCTTTGCAATTTGGAGCCGCGGTGAAGAAAAACTGGAAGAATTTCTGAACCATCTCAACAGCATCCACCCAAATATACAATTCACCATGGAAAAAGAAATAGAGGGCCAGCTCCCATTCTTAGATGTCATGGTCATAAGCAAAACTGAACTCCTATTGGGACACAAGGTCTACAGAAAACCCACCCACACGGACCGGTACCTACACAAAAATTCCAACCACCACCCACAGAAAAAAAAAGAGGCATAATCAAAACACTGGTAGACCGTGCAAATCAGAACTGTGAAGCCCAGTTTCTCAGCACTGAACCCAACCATCTGAATTGGGCCCTACAGGCAAATGGCTTTAACGCAAAAACGCAGGAAAACAGCAGGTTTAGCAGAGTATTGAATAGTCCAGGTAGTCCAAAATAACTCACTCACACACTAGCAGCTTCACCACCACCAACGTGTATTTAGAACATATTTACAGCAGTTCAGTCTGGCACCATAACAGGTAGCATTAATCACAAAGCAGGAAGATACATCAACTGTTCAGTTTCACATATATACATATACAGACCTGCTTGTGTCCAATCACATTATGTGTTGCATCATGCATGAGTCAGCACTGCTGAGTCATCATGACTCAGTTTCTACACATCTGTTCATTATGGCTGCTCATTAATATACTTTATTTTGCTCAGGCATGTAAATTCGTATTGACAGACTTTTGGAAAAAAAACAACCTACAAACAGTATTCAAGCCCACCATAAAAATGCAACAAATGTTATGGTCAGCAAATGACAGAAGGGACCCCCTCACCACTGCAGGAGTATACCGGATACCTTGCACTTGTGGCCAGGTATACATTGGAACCAAAAAACGAAGCATCCACACCAGAATCAAAGAACATGAGAGACACTGCAGACTAAAATAACCAGAAAAATCTTCAGTAGCTGAACATGCCCCAAAACAAGCTGGACATGAAATTATATTTCCAAATACTGAAATAGTGGACAACATCAGCAATCATTACGTCAGACTGCACAGGGAAGCCATTGAAATCCACAAGCACCAGCAGAACTTCAACAGAAAAGGGGAAAGTTTGAAACTCAACAAAACTTGGCTTCCATCTCTCAAAAATACAGCATGCAAAAGGCCAATGACCTCTACGCAGCCACAAGGACCAGGGATCACTACACACAAAAGAACAACGAATGACACCCATCAATCACAGTGACAGATAATAGTGTCTCAAATGCCACATCTTTCCCATGGCAGTACACATTGCCACACAGGACAATCTAGTGGCGGACAAGTTGAGTCGGCTACATACCCAGACCAATCATTGTTTTTCACCTTTGCAAATTCTGGGGTCAGCCACGAGTTGACATGTTTGCTACACCTCAAAACACCAAATGCAACCTCTTCTTTTCAAGAGCAGGCACTAGGAGACGCACTTGTGGCAGATTGGACTACACATCTCATATACTTCTTCCCTCCCATTCCTCTGCTCCTCAGGACAATAGCAAAAATCAAATACGATCATACCAATGTGATCCTCACTGCTCCATGGTGGCCAAGACAGCCATGGTTCACCATGCTCCAAGCCATTACCAGTGACTACATCCGCCTACCCCTTATCCCACACCTTCTCTCACAACATCAGAGCAGGACCCACCACCCAGATCTCTACACTCTCCATCTCATGGCTTGGAGAGTCCTCCCTCAGTGAAGGTGATCCTTGTTCATGCCTGTAAACCTTCCACAATCAAACTCTATTCCTACAAATGGTCCTTCACCAAATTTGCTCTCCAACCTGATCTCCCTACTAATCCAATGAATTTACAAGCTGTCCAACAGTTTCTCTCTTATCTATTTGATAAACAATTATCCATTTCAACTCTAAAGGTCTATTTATCAGCCATTATAGCATATGCACCTCAGGATTCGGAAGCTGCCATGAGTTTTCGACATCCTATACTAAAACGCTTCTTGCGGGGTGTTTCCAATATGTGCCTCTTGGTGCCTCCACCTTCTCCACAATTGTCTCTATCCCTTGTTTTCCATTGGCTTTCTCATCCTCCATTTGAACCACTTGCCACCACTTCAGAGTACCCCCCCTCAAGACGCTCTTCCTCATCGCCATTACCTCTGCCCGCAGGGCCTCTGAGCTCACAGCACTGAGAATTGACCCTCCATTTCTCCAATTTCATCCCGACAAAGTCACCCTTTTTCTGGATATTTCCTTCTTACCAAAGGTTGTGTTCCATTTCCACCTGTCCCAACCTATAAATCTACCTACCCTTTTCCCATCACTTACAACTGATTTGGAAAGATCACTACACACATTGGACACCAGAAGGGCTCTTGCCTTTTATACCTCAAGGACTTCTTTCCGCAAATGAAAGAGACTGTTTATTTCACCACATTTCCCTCATAGGGGCTCTCATGTTCCTTCCCAAACGATTTCCCGCTGGATCGTTTTGACTATAAAATTGGCATATCAATTTACTAAACAGCCCCTACCTGTTGGTATTTAGGCTCATTCCTTAATACCAGCAGGTACTGCAACAACTACTTCGGCAGCATTCCTTCGTGGAGTTCCACTCCCGGACATTTGCAAAGCTGCCACATGGGCAACACCATCCACGTTTGCCACCCATTACAGACTGGACTTAAGAGCCAAAAGGGATGCATGGTTCGGGGGAGCTGTGCTTTCTTCAATCCTTCCGTGATGTCCCTCCACCTATAAGGTAAGCTTATTAGTCACCCATTAGTGTGCATTCACAGAGAACACAAAGAAGAAAGAGAGGTTACTTACCTGTAACTCTGGTTCTTCAAGCGGTCATCTGTAAATCCACACTTCCCGCCCGTCTCCCCCTCTGTCCATCACTCCTGTATCATTTGATGCAATGGCAGGCTGTTCTTAGGGACCGAAGTGATTGCTAGGCCGGGTGGACGTTGTGGGCTAAGACGGTGGCGGTGGTCCCTGACGAATGTAGCATAAAGCTCTAGAATATTC